ACAATAGTGGAATTTTAGTAGTATAGTAATAGAAGTAGTAATGGGGTAGCAGTAGCAGTAGCAGCGGTAGTGACAGTGGCAGTGTCCAGTAGCAGTGACAGTAGCAGCCGCAGTAGCTGGCAGTGGCGGCGACAGTGGCAGTTGCAATCAATACCAATAGCAACATGATGATGTTGTCAACATCAATTATAACCGTGTTTGAAACCGCCGGATATGCTCTTATAGCATCTCTAGTATGAGAATTAAAATATCTAGTGCAGTCATATGAAGCGTTACAGGCATAGTACTCACCAAAATAGTGGTGATAATGGTAATAACAATAACAAGTGCAGACAGCAGATATCTGCTGAGGCGCAGTGTGTCCTAGCCGTAAAAAACGCAAAATTGTTCGGGGCGTTTGCCTCCGCTTAGAGACCCGCACCCCAGTTCATTCGAAAGAAAATCATGCCCAGGTTTTCTTACCGCAATGGATAGTTCACCCTCACCGCCATTTCTACGACACCATTATTGTGATTGGCTGAAAGCCCGTGTGGGTCTAGGTAGCGAATTCCCTCCCTCCCTTTCCTCATTCCAGAATCGGCCGCCTCGAGAAAAGATGGTGAAGCTGTTCTGTGCGATCGCTGGCGTGGCGGGCAGCGCCTTCTCGGTGCGTGTGGACGAGAGTGACTCGGTGGATGACTTGAAGAAGGCGATCAAGGCGGAGAAGACGAACGACTTCAAGGACATCGACGCAGACAAGCTGCAGCTCTTCCTGGCGAAGAGGGAGGACGGCGCGTGGCTCGTGTCCGACTCAGAAGATGTGAAGAAGCTGAAGAAGGGCGAGAAGACTGTCGCAGTTGAGGCTTTAACAAGCGAAGAGAAGGAGCTACAGGGGGAGTCTGGCCTGCAGAAAGTGTTGAAGGGCATGCAGAAGCCATCAACGGACCAGATTCACGTGCTGGTGATGCTTCCGGAGCAAGAACACGCACAAACTGGATTGTGGCTTGTCACTGGATCCGTTGGCAACGCGCTGAACACGAAAGGGATTCGCTGCAGGCTGTACCGACTGGCGGGGTCATGCCTTGGATACTACGATCCCAACCTTCGTGCTGGCGAAACCGACAAGGCGCTGTGGTATGATGAGGTGATGTTGCGGATCCATGTTCTTTTCAAAGAAGGTATGCATTTTGGTTATTGTAGAACTGTGCTGGTTGATGTCTCACAGATGTTGTACAGAGAGGGATGCTTTGCTATTTGAAAACGAACTGCAGACCGAAGGTATCAAGCAAACTTCCCCACTCGATGGCCACACGATCTCGACGACTGTGGCCCCAGTTTCTCGGGAGTTAAGCGAACTGCGACGCATCTTTGCCATGCATTATGTTCCAGATGATACCGAGTCCCCTCAAGTCTCAATGACGACTTTCTCGTCCAACACCTCGATCGTTGACGTAGCGACTGACGAATTTAAGTACCAGCGTATCGAGAGTGAAGAGTGGTTCGGGTCGGTGGGGAAGGCACAGAGCTGCCATGTGATGTCCAGAGAGCATTGCCTGAAATATCCAAGCTACAAGAAGTATGACAACGACCCAAGCAATCGTCTTGCTCTTTCTGCAGAAATGCACGAGTGGTTTGATGCTCGGTCCTATGCGGTGCCGACGATGAAAATTTCCGTCGAGTCCACATCTGAAGGATTTGTAATCGGCAACAGATACAAGGTACGAGTAGTTTGAGTACGTGCTGAATACTACTTGTTCTAACATTATTTACGATGCCATAGGTCGATTTGGTTGTGCGCGCGTGGAATGCTGGATTCGCAAGACTTCTCTCGCTGCGTTTGAAAGAAGGCTTTGCTGTGTCGGATGATGGCTTGGAGATGCGAACATCCATCTACGTACAGAACAAGAAGGTGTTTTGCGACTGCATGGAGTGGAAGCGCAAAGAGATAGAGAAGAAGTGGAGAGAGCACGAGGATATGGCACCTGCTGTGGACTGACTGCACCACGCGTAAGATCCTATTGACTTCAATTTCAATTTGCTTTTCATCCTAATAAATATAAAGTTACTAATATACAACGATGGCGGACCAACTAGCCGAGCGCCGCCGCTACGC